AACCCTAATATCTTGATTATTAGTCTAACTTGACCTAAAATTTACTAGGTACCCCGCTCAGTCTCAAGACATTTCATTAGACACTTTGTATTCATAACAACAGTGTTATTTACCTGGTTCTACTAACTTGCACACTAAGCATCCCAAAGTCATTGGCGTAATCGCACTCTTTCGGTGCATGGAGTTTTACTGAACAAACTTTGTTTCTGTCTATCTTGTTTTATTTCCAAATCCTAAGCTTTCTGCCGATTGTGTAAGCGCTTTACTGACATGGCGCCCTACCACAGAACCGCATATATACCTCTCTGAGCTCAGTTGGAGTTTATGGTTTTACTTCAACGTTTTGATAATATAGGTTGGCTAAGTGAGCTTGAGAGGGTTTCATTTGCCCACTCATCAGTGGCGAAAGAGATGGAAAAGGCATCGGCGATAGGCAACACTAGACAACTCTTTAGACTCATCAGGGAAACGGGTGGGAGAAGGCAAATCATAAGTGAGACTATTTCTGAGAAAATGGCTCCTTAATTAGCTCTCAGGATAGACGCGTTGAACGCTGGAAAGAACACTTTGAGGAACAATTTAACTTGCCTACAGCCACACTGAGCATCCCCGCCATCCAGCACACACCCGAATGGGATATAGACACTGGCCCGCCGTCTGTAAGTGAGGTCACAAAAGTTATTTTAATTTGAAACGAGGCAAAGCGGCAGGACCCGACGGAAATATTCCGGTGTTTAAATATGGGGGTAACATGCTAGTATATAGTTTAACTAAGGTACTAGGTAACGTCTGGAAATCGGAGACGGTTCCATCAGACTGGGGTAAGTCACTTATACCAATATTCAAGAAGGTAGACAAGTCCTCGTGTGATAATCATGGAGGAATCAGTCTGACGAACAGTCTCTAAAATCTTAGGCTCAGTAATCATACACAGTCTTAGCCGAACTCGGGAGGAACAAACGAGCGAAAATCAAGCGGGCTTTAGTCCAGGTAGAGGGTGCATAGATCATATCTTCACTCTCCGACAGATCCTAGAACATAGACACACTTTTAGGCTTCCAACAATTGCCATATTTCTTGACTTGAAGGCGACTTTCGACTCCGTGGATAGAGAGGTACTTTGGCAATGTTTGACTGTGAAAGGAGTGCCAAGAAAGTACATTGCACTAATCAAGGCACTCTACTCAAACTCACGTAGCCATGTAAGGGCTTATGGGGAATTGTCATCTGAATTGATAATAACCAGTGGTGTCCGTCAGGGATGTCCACTTTCCCCATTTCTGTTTAACTTCATCATAGATATGCTAATGGAAGTATCCTTAACTGAACTTAACGACTTAGGAATCGACTTGTTACCAGGGAATAGTCTTATGGACTTAGAATATGCAGATGACATAGTCCTGTTAGGGGAAGGTGCTGACACAACGCAGTCTTCCGAATACCTTGAGCAGCAATCTTCGTATGTTTGGCATGCGATTCGCCCCTGTAAAATATAAGATGCTGCTACAGGACTGGACTACGTCAACTCCTAGCCTAGTGATAGGGAGTGAAGTGATAGAACATGTTGACCACTTCACCTATTTGGGAAGTTGTATCAGCACCAACGGATTGATTGGTAACGAAATCTCAGCACGGATCCAAAAAGCTCGGGCTGTTTTCGCTAACTTACACCGTCTCTGGCGTAGGCGTGACATCCGGCTATCAACCAAGGGACGTGTGTACTGCTCAGCAGTTCGCTCCGTCCTTCTCTATGGCTCTGAAACATGGCCAATACGAGTTGAAGACATGAAAAGGTTGACTGTTTTTGATCATAGATGTCTACGATCTCTTTCTCACGTTAGGTGGCATAATAAGGTAAGTAATGTTGACGTTAGGCGTAGAGTGTTGGGCAAAGAGGGAAAATCAATCGAAGAGGCTATAAAGTTACATAGATTGAGATGGCTAGGTGACGTGCTGCGCATGCCTAACCATCGCCTCCCCCGACGGGCATTACTAGCTGATATAGGTGCAGGTTGGAAAAGAATAAGTGGTGGCCAAACAAAAACATGCCATCAATCAATCCATGAAATCCTTGACAGTTAAACTGAGTCAGGTAGGGAGATGCAGACTTCCAGGTTGGGGCCCTCGGGACTCTAAGAATCAATGGCTGGAGACAATAGGTGACATGGCTCAAAATCGTTGTCAATGGCTTACGCAGATGTATTCAGTCTCTGTAATCTTTCATATTCCTTTCTACCATTACTCATTCTGTTTCACTCTTATACTTGTCAAAACTCTATTGATTCTCTTCACTCATTTTCTTGTCTACCTTTGTGTGCTATTTGGAAGGTGGCAACTGGAACTGCTGCACTTCGGTGCCAAGTTCTATGTTGAATCCAGACAGACAGGAAACGGCATAGTTGTTTCTAAAGTGTGTCGTCTTTCGCTTTTCTTGTGTAGGAGGACATTGTTTTGGTTTCTCTGGACTAGTGGTGCTATGCACCATCTTCTGGTTATTAAATCACCTAAACATACTTTTTTGGGACTCATTCCAAACAAGACATAAGGCAATCTAGACGAAATAGCCCGCTTCTGCAAGCGTTACTTTTGCACTACTGGCTGTTGTGAGCATTAAGAGGTCGTTAGGCTCTTTTGTAATTTTCTTACCCAACTTACGTTTGAATTTTTATAGGTTTAAAGTCTGCTTCTCAGTATCGTTGTATTGCACTGTGCATACTAGCCATTTGATAAGTGGTTCCACATTGCGCTGTAATGAGGACTTGTGAAAATCTGTAAGCATTGCAGTCTGTCGTATACTCATTTGATTCACAGGCAGAGGGAGAATTCAGAGTAATGTGATGGAAGGACATATACATGAGGAAGAATTATTAAGCGGGGATTTAATGCATCAAGATCACAAAAATCTGCACTACGAAGAACGATAATGAGCCATATCACTGACAGTCTCAAGTTATTGGTTCGTAGCTTCTCAAGGACTCCAACCAGGCACTCTACATGTAAATAGCTAAAACTAATAGGAACTTGATAAATTAGCGCCAGGTGTTAGTTTGACCACTCACTTTTTTCAAGCATAAACCTCTGTCAACTAACATTGCTTGTATGGAATGGTAGCGGCTCAGAATGTAACGTGCAGCTTCATAACTACGCCGATTAACTTTCTTTCCTCACCTAACACTCGACGCTCAAACTCAACACCACTCACCACATTGTTCCACAACACGGGCGGTAGATTACAAACATCTGTGGTTAAAAGCAGCTAGCCCCTTAGAGTCTCCCACTTTCGACGTCCACAATGAACGACTGGGAAAACTGGTATGCAGTACACTCGTCATCTGACCGGCAGCCAAATATCACGTCTACACCAAAGATGACGTAAGTTTGCAAGTCTCACAAGCCTTTGCATCGGTGCCGGGATTTCTTCAGCAATCAATCTTTTAGGGCTAATACAACTTACCAAATAAGTGAAGTAGTCAGCATACTCAATTACTTCACCGCCTATCTTTAAACTGGGAGTCGGTTCAGTCCGTTTATTGGTGCCACAGTTGTCAGGTGCCAGTCGCATTTTGAACGTTATGGGTTTCCACTCAAGGCGTTGGGAAGACTGCATTTTTTCGGCGTCTTCACCCGGAAGCATAATATAACGCTCGTAGTCCAAGTCAAGGACACTGTCTCCTAGTAACAATCCAATCCCTAAGTTGCCGAAGTCGATCAGTCTCATCCATTGGTACATCTATGGCGAAATCAAACAATGGCGATCCTTGGTGGTTTCCACTGGTTATCATCACTTCAGATCACAACTCTCCATAAGCTGACTATTATCGATATGTGCTTTCATATAATTCATTCTATGATAACACTACACTCTACCACACTGCGTAAGTTTTACTTATATATCGGCCTCTGTGAACACTGATGGAGTGATTCTTGTGTAGAGAAGTCATAAGCAATAGGTAATACCCGTCACCTGTTTAGGGTCATCGGTGAAGGGGGCTTTACAAAGCCTTTCTAAGTGAGTTTACTTCTTAGAAAAATGGAAATTTACTAACTGAAGGTAGGTGTTCAGGAAGTTTAGTAGAACAGTTCAACTGATCCATAGGTGCACTACACAACTGTCACACTACCCCAGCCTCAATGAAATGTGCCTAATAGTCCTAGAGGTCAAAGATGTAGTATAGGGGAGGACTTGATTATGTAACTCCAGAGAAGTTTAAGGATAGCGATGAATTTTCTGCCAGATTAACTTACTTGCTGCATAGGAATAGATAATCCAATCGTACCGGTATTAATAGTTGGTCCCCCCAGTTAATAAAAAAGTGGAAATATCATGTTGCAAGTAAAGAAGCATTACCTTGACCAATAGTTTATCTGTGAACATGATGTTCATTCATATGATGGCTAAATAAAGCTCAAGAGTGATGGTTCTGCAGTTTCTTATTACAACATTATTCGTGCGTAATCAGTTATGTATTCGTATAAATACCCTTAGGAATAAAGTGATACTGGTTATAATAATGCATCCCTAACTAATGAGACGTTAAATATTGAATTCCTCCTCAAGTACTGGTATATTGTCGTGTCGGTAGGCTGTTTCATACCTCCAAATCTATATTTTGAACGTCTCATGAGCTTGTTGTATGTTTCTATTACTGCCGCCATGTTTCGAATACAGTTGTAGTTTCATTAGTTTGGATTTTCGATTATTGATCATTCATGTTTACATCCACTTCCACCTAGACTACATAGTGTGCAAATCTGTATCAGGTGTTATACCCCAGTAGAATTATTGTTGCTCCACCAAGTTTATGTAATTGATCAACAGAAGTTCAGCATGGTTTCCTGAATACGTTTTGGCGGGATCAGTACATTGTAATGGAGGAATTTAATCACCATATGACTGTAGTAGTATCTACTTTTAAGCTGCTAGGTACTTAAATGTCTGTGTCACTATATTTGAGTACTATTTTTGTGTTATATAATTGTTCCTGTGATTGGCTTTTTAGATGCCTCTTATCAGTGCAAAGCCACATGTACTGAATCCAATCTGGAAGAAAAAGAAAGTTCGTGACTCAGAACAACCCGAAGAACCTGAGTCTAAGCCGGAATTTATTGTTCCAGAAACACAAGAAATTTGTACGTCTGCTGAAGAATTGCAACGAAAAAGCACAATTTATAATGAAAGTATATGGACATGTCGTGTTACTGGAAAGTCAAATCTCACTTACCGTGAAGCACTGAAAACCGAGGCAACCGCGATTAAGACGTTAAAAAAATGCTTTCCGAAATTTTTCGAGAAAACTATTCTAGAGCGTATTCATTTGAGTAAGTGTATTTAACTGCATACTTAATTCTGTTAAAGGTACTTTACCTCTAGAATCTCTGGTGCACAATTGCTGGATTGCGATACATGAACAATTTCATATCGCTGAACCTGTAAAACTTAAAGTTGACTCTGCTTCCAGTATACCGTAAGTTCAAGCAAGTTGAATCTTTACTTTTCATTAGCATACGTGGAATCATTGATGATATAATCAAGTCTCAACCTGTACCAGTAAGTTTAGAATCCCGTTAATTATATTTGGTTTTTTTAGCCACCCGTTCCAGATAACACTTCACCAAATAACAGTGATAAAGAAAATGTGACAAGAAAGAATTCACCCGTCAAAGTAGTTTATTTAATTTTCCTGAAATATGTTCCTAGAAAGATTATGCATACAGTATTAAAGTTCTTGCAGACATCCCAGTTGTCGTACATGATATTCCAGCTTGTTCAATAGAGTAAGATATGCCTATTTCTAATTACCGTTGGTATAGTCGTGTCAGTCGTGCACCCACCAAAGAACACATTCGGATGTTTATTCGCAGCCATGCTATGCGTTATGGTCCAAATTTTACGGGTCCATGGATTGTAAACGAAGAGCTTCTACGACGTCATAAGATACCCTTGAAAAGCCCTGGATTTCAAGTTGATAAAGTTAAGGTAATTTTAGTTTGAATTTTCTACATTTGGTATCTTAATCGTGAAAAAAATTAGTATGGCTTCTTTCTCTCACTACCTTTCATACACTGCTCATTCTCATTCATACGTTTAAATTTGCAATTATGTATAAAGTCAACGAATCACCAACCCAAATGGGATGAGGGAAACTATCCTTTGCTTCACTTAAGCTGATAGCATTGCCTTAAATGCATGGTGGGTTAGATTAACAAGAGTTGGCTATTTGTCACCAACAACTTCAAAGGTAACGGTACGGAGTTCTGGATCAAATTAGGAAAGGCGTTAGCTGGCTGGTAGGAATAAGAAATGATTCCAAATGAATCAAGTGATTTTGTCACCTCACTTCATCAAAAAAAACACCCTTGTTACACTCACGGAATCCTAGCATTCATAAACAGAAATGACGTGTACTGTGTCATTTGCCAAGCTTCTTCACCCACCCACGACAGCTGATTCTGCTGATAAAGAAAGATATAGTTGCAGGATTCGACTTTAAAAAATGTGGAAAAAAAGTGCATCGTGCTAATAAAGATTATTTGCTTAAACTAGAACAGGTAGCAAATTTCCGCTAGGGCTACGCATCATCATTTGACGATGAAATCCCAGCACTAGTACAAAATCCAATTTGGGCATTTACCAACCTGTATCATCTTCATCTCGGACATGGTGTCCGTTTGTTCACAGGAAATGTGTACTGTGCAGCAGTTTGCTATGTCCTATTTTAAGGCTATAAGACGACCACTGAAGAGACTAGCTGTTTTTTTGACTACAATTCCGTTAGATCTCGTGTCAGGTGATATAACGTGGTCAGTAATATTGAGGTTCAGTCTAAAGTATTAGATACGGAAGGAAAGTCAGTCGATAAAATAGTAAAGCTGCATCAGTTGAAATATCTGGAACACGTGCTACCTATGCCTAAACATCGCTTTTCTCGTAAAGCAATGCTAACTGGTACAAGACTATATTTATAGAGTTAAGTGCAGTCATGCTAAAACATGGCACCAGTTCACAGTCTGACTGTTGGTTGTAGCCACATAGGGAGGTGTAGATTGTTTGACTGAAGTCCTCTGGTTGCTAAGAATCAATGGTTGGAAACTTTCTGACATGGCTCAAAACCATTGCAAAATTCTACGTTGATAATCCAATTATTCAGTGAATACTCACTTTTGTCACGCTTATGCACATAAATATGCTTGAACTCCGCTCAGAGAAGAGGTATTATTCTTAACGCATTTGTCTAAGTCAAATCACATACCTCTTTCCTTAACTTTCCTCTTGATCTTCTAACTCCTATAGTTGAAACAAATGTCAAAAACCCTTGAGGAGGAGCACTTCATTCGCATTATGAATTTACGACGTCAAGCCAATGGAGAGGGTACATCTGAGGATGTCTCCACTAGCACACCACTTAATTTCAAACGTATCAAACGCTTTTCTGTACTTCGTGATGACAGCACCAGTAGACAGAAGGAGGAGAATGAAGACGACCTACCATTAGCACAGTTAAAAGATCGCAGTCAAAATAAACAATCATCAGATGATGGGAGTAAAAAGAAAATGAAACAGGTTTGTTGTAGTACAATCTTTTCTTTTTATTGCAATGTATTTAGTGTCATATGTTTTCGAAATTTCTTGAAGTGTGTCTATGATGTACCACTTTAACCGTTCTAAAGCAATTGTTCTATTTTGGTATAGTGTCAGAAGTTCTAGCTTGCCGTAGGACGCACATTTCCGGTATATTACGTTTAGTCTAAGCGTAATCCGGATTTTCCACATGAATAAATGTGCAGTGTGCTGTATATCTCCATTGTGCGTAAAACCAAATATTTCAGATGTCTGCAGCTCAATTTTATGTAGTTGCTGACTTGATGCACATCTCGATCGTTATCAAAGCTACATCACGTTTGCATACTAATGTCAGCTTGCGGTAGCTTTTGACACGTAAAATCTTTTATTGCTTAAAAACATCCACATTGTCTTTTTGTGCCAGTAATTCACCACTGCTTGTCAACAACTGAGTTAGCAGTTTTATTCTTTTTTGATGTTTTAATGAACAGTCTTACTCTATCCTCTACATTGTGTATTAATCAGGTTACAGTGAAACAGAGTATTTGTGTCACGTATTGCAGATTCCAGTGGATAACTGCTTGAAGACAGTTAAATACGATCAATTTGAAGTGACTTTTGTGGTTATGTCTGTATGAATTCCCTACCTCTTGTACAAACCTCCACAGGGGGGGGGTAATCAGACTTTTCTGAGTTCCCTCTCTCCGGAGACAGGCAGCATAGCTTTCTAGTCGTTTCAGGGAGACGTCTTGCTGCGATTAACCCCCCTAATCGCTAGCTGTATGGCTTCTCCCCCAGACCCAACCTAGTGTAAACGAATAACGCTTTTGCTCTAACCTTTATCCGAACAACCTTAATGGCATTACAGGAACCGCCAATTTAGTTCCTTAGGCCATTGTAATATGCAAGCCAGATCAACAGGTCAATAGGAATAGGATTGTAACTGATTTTACCAAATGCAAGTCATCATTTATCAATGATGATAAAAAGCATTCGTAAATTCAATCATGGTTTTTAGTCGACACAGTACCAGTTAATTAAACGTTAAATGTAACAGGTTGATTCACCTTATTCAAAAATCGACTGTTGAATTGAAAAAACTGCATATTCTCTGTTTTACTCGAATACCTTTTTCTCATACTTGTAACTTCCATTTGAAATTTCTTGTTTCCTTTTGTGGTTTGTTACCCCATTTACCTTACCCCAAACCATCCTCACTTTCTGGTCTTTACTGCCGGCTAATTATGGTTTAGGAGTGCGTCGGCTGGGAATCATATCTGGATCATGTGATTGCCTTGCGAGTATTCTACCTCTGAACCATAGACGCACACTCTATCCAGTATGACTAGTAAATTATTGTACTAAATTCAAAGTTCTGTCCGTATGGTATTTTGTTCACACTGGACTACGTATGAAGCTACGGTCCACAGATCTAGGTGCGCAAATTTCAACCACTGTGTCATGCACTCGAATTTTGCTTCACCTATTAACCATCGTACAATAGGCATAGCGCATTGTCAACTGCGCGGAAATGCTAGTGGCCGTTGAGCAGCTAGATTACACAGCTCCTTTCGCTGTTGGGTTTTGTTACAGTGGAGATTTTTACGTGGTTACTAACTTGTTTGTCGTTATGCCTGAAGTGCTGTACATCAATAACAAATTTGTATCACATTCTTATAATATCATTTTCTAACTTATGAGTTATTTATTATTTATGCCTCAAGATTATATTCCCTTACCGTTGTAACTTTTAATTCATTGGTGTAATTTTTTTTTTATTCTCTTAGGCCACTTTGTTTCAATTTGGTAAAAAAGATTCTTCTAAGGATGAAGCTACAGACTCATCAACTGTCAATCGTCCTAAAAAGAGTGTATTACCTCGAGTTGCTCAACATCTTATAAAAATGTTTGAAGAAAATAAAGATAATCCGGCGATTGAAAATCAAATAAAAGTTTGTGCAAAATTCATCACTGATGTTGATCTGCTGAAGCTGCCAGTTGAATTACGTGATCCTGTTCGAGAAAAGAAAGAGGAGTTCGCATTCAGAAAAAAATTGTATGTTTTCATTTGATTTACAGTAATAGAATTAATTAATGCAGTTAGACTACCTGGTACACATGTGTGTTAAGTGTGAGATAATGAGAGCCTTATATTGCCTGATTGTGAAGGTGACAGTCTGGCTGCGGCTCTTTGGTGTCTATGTGTTCGACTTTCAACCAAGTGGGTCACGGGTTTAAACCTCACTCCAGGCACCAAGGTATGGGCAACACCAGGTAGTATATATATGTGTTGTGATGCGGTTCAGTGGCTTAAGCGCTCAGTTTTCAACCACTTGGATACGGTTTCGGGGCCCACTTCATCTGCTTCAGCCTGGGTAACAAGGTAGTATCACCAGCCCTCATATGGCTTTTAGCTTGGTACATGATAAATCTGTTTTGAATAATTGAGATTTAACGAACAAACAACATGTGTGGCTCATTACCAATATCATGGAATCGCAAGTGGTTGTTGAGTAACGTTGAGCTGAGTTTGACAGTGAGTCAATTGGGCTTTGTATCCGAAACCTCCTACTAGTCTGATAGTCAAGTGCGTAAGCATGGAGATTTGGCTCACTGACAGCTTCCAACCAGTGGGTCAGGGGCTCAAATCTTACTCCGCTTACTTCAACCTGGGTAATTGGATCGTGTGTTCGCCCTCACACGATATATGGAGCACCCAACCTGGTACATAAAAGATATGTTCTGGCTAATCGGGTTCAAACAAGTGCTTAAATTAATGGGCCATGCTTTCGCTTCTCAACACTTAGCTCCATTTTGTACTCTCCTCAATAACTCATCACTGTGATGTGCTGTTACAGCTGTAATTCTGTTATTAAAAATCTTGAGCACAAAGTTTTTTTGGTAGATGGTGACTAACAGTGGAATCCAGGATGTGCATTTCCTCCTATCTGGGCCTCGTCGTCTGGATGTAACTGCATCCCGAATGAGTGGCGGTGTTCCTAATGGGACTCGAACGCTGCACCTTTTGCACAAGAGGTGGCCCAGTAGATAACGGTGTGGTATTTAAGACGATGGGTGTTGTATTCCAGTCTCAGCGGGGACACCATCACTCACTGAGAATCTGTAAAGTTACTGGTCATTGGCTCTTTTCATTGTGAAGCTTAATATATGGATGTGGATTCACGGTTCATTGTTCTAGATATTTGTCTTTCAGTTTCAAATCCCACTCCGCTTATCGAGGTTTAGGCAGGCAGTCAGGGTAAAAGGTGAACATGCCATTAATTTAGTGTATATGAAATTTCACTTATTCATTGAAACATCCCTTATCCAAAGAATTCATCTGGTAATATATCTTTTTACGTGTTGAGAAATTTTAAACGCCCACTTTCACCGTCGTTTCCTCACAATTTTTTAATTTCTAGAATGGCTATGACACCAGCTCAGCGGAAGGAAGCACTTCAAGAAATGAAAGAAAAACGGAAAATGGAGCGTATTCATGCCAACAAGTTAATTGATGATTTACAACTTACAAAATCCCTACCTCACTGTCCCTGTTTACCTGAACCTTCTAAGCTTGAATTCCCTACTGGTTTTACAGAATCCCTTTTTGGACGTTTACTAGGATTAACAGAATTTTTCCATATATTCCATAACCTGCTTGTTGAAGGATCTATGGATGATGCTGATGCAGATAATGCAGCTGACAATACTAACGTGTCTAGTTTCATTCGCTCTCCGGTTGACTCCCTGGTACCTGGTTATGGCGAACCTGGTTATTCTGATGACGATGATGAAGGCAATACTGATGAAGAGGAAGAGGAAGCAGAGCTAATTGAATCGACTGCTCCACTTCCTAAAATATGCATCAAGGCCTTACGTCGTCTTGGATTGAAACGTCTTCTTAATGCTATTACAACCAATAGACCAACAGTTGGTGCATATCGATCATTAGCTCGTCCACTGAGTGTTCTATTACGCTTAGTTTTGAAGGATGAACAGTTAAGTGTAAGTAACTATAGTTTGTTCTGTTAAAAATTCATTCTTAATTATATTTAATTCCACTACGACGGAGGGATGTTTGATAGACTTCAGCACGCTTGCCGTGTACATTGGTTGTACTTCAAAATATTGTCTATTAGTCATTCAATCACGTGGTAAGGCATGTGCTCACTAATGTAGCCTATTGGAACATAGGGCTTCAAGCTAGAGGCTTGAAGTTTCTGTAGCAGTGTTTATTTTTACAGGATGGGGTTGCTAGCCTCATGCCCAACCTTTCCTCTTTACCAGCTTTTTTATTACTGGCTTAGCGAGGTAAAGGAGTGCGTCTGTGGCCGGGGATCGAATCCCGGACCATGTGCATGGTCGGCGAGCGTCCTAACCTCTGTGCCGCCGACGCACTTATGTAGCATACTGACTCGTTTTAAATTGTGTTCGTCAGTGTGTAACTATTTGTAAACCTCAAATAGATCGCATTACTATTAGGTACCGATGTATACAGAATTACCGCTCCTTCTGTGGCACTTGCCTGAATTTCAATCAGGCTTTGGTGTGTGTGGCAGGTTTGTTTTAAGATTTGCTGACTACCGTAAACATCTCCCACAACAGGTTGACGTAAGTAAACCGGTATTATCTGCTACCACTGCTAGTTATCAGAACGAGTTAGATTCAAGGTGAGTTGTTAATCCTCAAGTGGTACAAACAAACATTGGCTGCACTTATAAGTTACCATGAAAATGGCGCATAAAGCTGCTTGCAGCCGTCGCGACTTCAAAGGTCGGATTTACAAAGCTTCGGTGCTCTCAACCTTACTCTACACCTGTAAGATCTGATCTCCGAGCTGAAGATATGCAAAGACTGCATATCCGATCATCACTACCTCCGTAGGATTGCTTGTATAGATGGCATTGTCATGGGAGTAATTCTGAGGTCCTGGGGGTGCCTGAACACGGTAGTGATCATCTTTCAACAAGCGTTGTTATCTCGGAGCACCGGCTTCGATGGCTTCAGCATAAACTACGGATGTCATCGCATGAGATCCTGTGTTGTTCACTGTTTGGTAGCCATGGTACTGAGTTGGAAAGGCGGAGGGGTACTCCATTGTGGGTAAAATCTATTTTGATTATGTCTCACAGTGTTATACAGTAATATTTACTGATGACGTTTCGAGAACAATTTATTGCTCATAGTCATATCAAGTTGATTGGAATTATACTCTACCACAGTGCACAAATTCTATTCTTTCTTATATCAATAGAGGGGTACTCAACCGAAGCAGTGCCATGAGATGAAGGATAATTTTGTTAGGTTAGCTTCTGTTGGTGCACAACGACTCCCTGAGCGGGATGTATGAGACAATTCGAACCAGTGGTTCGAGACGTTATCGGATTTGGTGGGGAGTTGTTAACAGTGTCGAAAATGCACTTTATTCCTCTTCTCTTCCCTAAAGTAACATGAAATGGTAAAGCATCCTTTGAATGTTCTTGATGATAGGTATTCTTACTTGTTCCCTTAGTGCTGCTTCTCAATTATCCTATTTCTACTTTCCCTATATTGTCGTTTTATTATTTGTGTGTGGCCCATCTTGTTATGCCCATGTTTTGCTAAGTGTGCTCAAACAAAATAATACCTACAACCTTAGCAATTGTAATAAAGTGTTCGATCTTGCGTAGGTATTTATTTGTTATCTTCCAGTAATTTTTTCGATAGATTATAACATGCAAGATTACATTTCTGATTTTAGAAAAAACGTGAATTGGGTATAAAACTTGCTAAATTCCCTGTTACACCATATACAGCACCTGAACTGCTCAGATTGACGCTTCTGCATGAGGTTCCATTGAATCATTCTTCTATGGTTAAACCAGAGGAATTCTTAAAACACGATAATCCAGTCACAGAGCTCAAGGTAAGTTAGTATAGAATTACATTATTATTGTTACTTAATTGATTAATTGTTTGTTTTTTCGGTAAAATCATGTTTGCAATGTTATTTGTGTAATTAAGAACTTGTTACCTTCATCAGTTCTGTTTTGCTCTAATGAACCCATCATGTTCTCGAGAATTAGGTCTTTTACTGCATCAAAATTAAACTGCCCATTTCAACAGTTTAGATGTCTTCATCTAATCATTTTTCCAAGCACAATCGATATACAAAATTGAAATAATAATCTGAGGACCGGAGGGAAGACAAATAAAGGAAACCAGAGATTCTGACTCATATATAATCATTATACTGACGTGACATCAGACTATCGATTGAAGGGATGTGTACGTTGCGCAGATGTTCGTTCTTTCTCTTTTATGGCTGCCAGAAATGGCCTTTGGAAGTAGAAGACGTAAAGTGGCTAGCTCTCTCTGACCACATATGTTTGCGTTTCATCTTCCGTATTCAGTGGTATAGTTCGGTAAGTTATGTTTCAGAACAGGTGTGGAGTGTTTGGTGAAGAAGAGAAATCAGTCAATGAGGTTAGGCAATATCGATTTAGATGGTTGACCAGCGTTAGTTGACGGACGATTAGCTTGGAAAATAATGAGGGGTGGTCAAATCAAAGCTTATCATCAATCCATGAAATCCTCAACAGTAGTTTTGAGCCAATCAGGGAGATGTGGACTGCTTGGTTGGGGTTATCAGGATGCTATGATTGGCTGGCTGGATTCAACATAGAACTTGGCACCGAAGTGCAGCAGTTCCAGTTGCCACGTTCCAAAGAGCACACAAAGGTAGATAAGAAGATGAGCGAAGAGAATCAATAGAGTTTCGACAAGTATAAGAGTGAAACAGAATGAGTAATGGTAGAAAGGAATATGAAAGATTACAGAGACTGAATACATCTGCGTAAGCCATTGACAACGATTTTGAGCCATGTCACCTATTGTCTCCAGCCATTGATTCTTAGAGACCCGAGGGCGGGCCCCAACCCGGAAGTCTGCATCTCCCTACCTGACTCAGTTTAACTGTCAAGGAACAGTAAACAGTGGTGGACGACAAAAGCGAATGAGATAGAGAAGCCCTCAGCAATTGGTAACACCAGACAACTATTTAGACTTATCAGGGAAACAGGTGGCAAAAGGCAAATGATAAGTGAAACAATCTCTGAGAAAAATGGCACCATAATATGTACACTTCCTTTATTACGTCAATTGTTACCATTACTATTAATTTACTCGTTCCTCTTGTCATTCTAAATCAATTCTGTTTTGCAACGTTAAATTCTATGCTATCGAATTTCACACAATGTTACGTAACGTTTTTATTTTATTAGATTTGCCTACTAATCCTATAATTGCACACTCCTTCCAAGTTCTATACATGCTATGAATTATTCTATCTATGACATTAATTGTTTCCCCACTTGACATTTAACCATGATTATCATCACAAACATTGCATCTCATACTATCACATTTCATACTACTATTATTATTTTATGCATTCACACCTTATGGTTCAATTCCCTCATCGGATATAATAAATTACTTTTTCTATAGTTTGGTTTGTAAGGGTTAGCTAATCTGATGCTCGCTAGTGACTTGCCACAGGATGGAGTTTCCTGGAGTTATAGTGAGAAGTCGTGACCAGTGAGGTTCAATTAGATGTTACGTGTGTGGATGGATGTCCCACCTATGACAATGGTTGAGGTCGCGCTAAATCACGAATTGGTAGAAGTTAGAACTCATTAACCATTCAATCGGGTGGGTCCCAGTGGCTGAATGGTATACGAGTCAGCTTGCCTTGTAACCGGAAGGTCGTGGGTGCGTACTGGCGATGATTCCCAAACTAGGATGAAACAGCAGCTGTCCAGTACTCCCTGGTTTCCAATGGTTCTCTAACTGATAACAATCCGTGATCAACTCGTAAAAAATAAATTCTTCGTTGAAAAGAGTCTCTTCGCTGAATCGCTTGTTTTGATTTTCTACATTTTCAATTGTTCCATGGGTCAATTTACCTTGGTACTTTAGAACTAGTTTTTTTGCTTCACGTCACAACTTTTACTGTGAAACAAAGGACTCGAGTTAATACATATTTTACTACTTCAAGCAAGACGAAGATTACTCACCCTTTATAACATATATATATTTGACGAGGTTATTCACGATAATGTATGGCATTACACGGTTCATATTCTCCAAAATATCTATGCTTAAGCAGTTTTGCGTTTTGATGTATAATGATGGTTCATGCAATTATGTATTTTGTTTTTCAAAATAAAACTTTTTACAGCAATTTGAACGGAGTACTGTGATACAACTCGTTCATCACTTATCAAACTCTGATCTGCACGAACTATTTCCGGAAGCCCGTGTATTAGCTTTAGAATCAGCTGTTGAAAAGATTTTCGACCTTGATCTTATTGATGATCATATTATGGCATGTCAGCGTCGAGCAACTGAAGCATATCTAAAGAAGATTCAGGTGTTACGTGGTAAGAATATACGAAAGAAGGACAAGAAAGATAATGCAGTCGAAACTGGCAAAGTCAACGGTACACCATCTACGAATCAAAATGATGAGTCTCTATCAAAGGTGGAGACTTCTGCTACAACCGAGCAAAAGGACAATGCTGAGTTCGATAGTAAGCGTTTGATAACATAAGGTCGTTTTCTAATGAATGTCATATTATTCTTTATTTTTGATCATTTTTATTGTCACTGTTATCATAGTTATTATTACTATTATACCGCTGAGTTCCATGTGAAACATGAGACCTCAGCCATGCGTCGTCGTCATTACATTCTGTCCTCTGAAGTCTTTTTCAGCTGGTTCCAGATGTACCCATAAGCCTTCATCTCCTCCAAGTCATCGTCGGATGCCCAACTCATTTGCTATTCGGGTCTCACTCAATGTTTTCAGTGTGTCTTCAATCCACCCCCATTTTTCTTTTACGAATTTGTTGGTTGATAGATTCTTGGTTGATTTGTTGCCAGATTTCCTTGTCGCTCATCCTTTCTTGGCAGGCCATCTGATGTTCATTTCGGAGCAAAAGAAGCTATTGATGAAAGCCTGCAGTTATCTGTCGGAAATGCTTTTGATAACACACACACACACCAAGTCTCTGAACCACGTAGAAGTTACTGACTTGACATTAGCGTCGAAAATCCGAATCTTCTTTTTAGAAAACAGAAAGATTGAGGGAAGAAATATTTACTTTTCAATTAGATCCTCATCTCTGGCTCTACTCTAATATATGTAGCATTTTTATTACAATACACAACAGTTTACCAATCAAGTGGCACTGATATGTTTGTTAACAATAATTAGTCAGTGTCAAAATGTCAGTGGGTTGATAATAAACGAAGAAAATCAATACACATTTAAAAGGTAGAAATGGTTAGAATAAATTAATTTTAGAAGGATAACACGTAATTAAAGATGAAGTGGTCAGAAAAAATAATTTAGACAATTATAATTTTTATAGTTTTAAAGGTTTAGGGGGAGGGGGGCGACGTAGTCCTGTTTATGCATTCTTGTAACGATGGCCAAGGCAAGGAAAGTGGCTGCACAAATTTCTTCTGAACACATAGGCTTGGCTTCTTCAGGTGGATTCCTATTGCTTCAGCTGTCTGTAGAAGACGAACTCGTAGAGCAAAATTAAGATTAGTCGGAATGCGATAAATAATTTTAAATGCAGTATTAACATCAACCTTATGCTCAGTATCTACAAGGTGTGCTGAAATAGAACTACGAATAGATCTTGTTTGTCCCTTGCTTAACCATGTTGGATGATGTTCGGAAATACGACGATGAACCTGCCTAATTGTACGCCCAATGTAGCTGGCTCCGCAGCTGCAGTCAAACTGGTAGATACACATAGAAAAGGCAAATTTAGGTAGTTTATCCTTATTTCTCGAACGTAGAATAGGGGTGGTTGTGAAGAGACAACGTACCTCTGCTGCATAGTAAGCTCTTTTAACTGCATTCTTCAAGCGCTGTGTTATTATTTTGCTGATGTTGTCACCAAGGAACTGCAGTTTTATGAACATTGGTTTTTTCGGAACTGTTGCCATACTGACTCTCCTTGGTGCTGAATTCATATTTTTCTCAATGAATTTATCTGGATAACCATTTTTTCTAAGTAATTCTCTAATAATCTTAAGCTCCTCATTGAGGCAGTCGTCTGAACAGATTAACCTGGCTCTATGAACCAGACACTTTACCAGGTTACGTTTATATTTCAAAGGTACAAAACTCAAAAAATGAGTGTACTGACCTGTACTCCTTCTTAGTGTGCCATCTTCTTTCTTTGCGATGAAGACGTCTAGGAATGAGATACTGTCACTACTTTCTTTCTCCATAATAAAGTTTATTCTTCTTTTTGCTTAGTGTAGCAGATATCTACACTGATTTCAGATTAATAAAGATCTATCTTGCTATATCTTTATTATTTTTTTCAGATGATTTGGCATCCATTGTAAAACGCCGACGGATAATGGCTGCACGAGCAGCTATAGAAAGAGAAGAAAAAGAAAATCTCGAACGTCAGCGACGTTTAGAGTTGGCTCAGGAACAGGCCGAGGAACGTGCGATCAACGCAGTCACTCGACTTTATGACACGCGTTCTGCAGAGGCTAAATGCGTTTTCCGCGTCAATCCTATTGGTTATGATCGATATTATCGTCGTGTCTGGTACTTCCATTGCTCTCCTGATCGTTTATTTTTGGAGGCTAATTGGGCCTGCTCTGATATCATGTATTCAGTTAACCCATTGAAAGGTATGTCGATTTATTGTTAATCAAATTGTCAACAGATACGGGTGAAATTTTTTTCTTCTTTTTTCCTTCACGTTCCTCAATGGAACATAGGGCTTCAAGCTAGTGGCTTGAAGTTTCCGTAGAAGTGTTTATTTTACAGGATGGGGTTGCTAGCCTCATGTCTAACCTTTCCTCTTCACCAGCATTATTTCTGGCTTAGCGAGGTAAAGGAGTGCGTCTGTGGCCGGGGATCGAACCCCGGACCATGTACGTGGCCGGCGAGCGTCCTAACCGCTATACCACCGACGCACGATAGGTGAAATTAACTACATTATATTTCATTTAAGAACAAATAATTCTATTTTTTATTTATTTATTTTTCACTTTTCAGCTGATCAAGATGATGAAGCAATTCCTGAACCAGCTCATTTATGTGTACATAATGACCAGTTGAAGAATGATACACTATTATGCAGCTCTTGGAGCAGTTGGTATTTTTATGATCGTCCAGAACAATTGGATGCATTATCAAACTCTTTATTGTCAAATGGTGTTCGGGAATGTCAGTTAAAGAACAAACTGCTAACAGATGGATTTTTAGAATCACTTAAACAAAGATGGAAAAGTGCCCCTAGTAGTAGTAGTACTGATACAAATCCTGTCAAATCAGAAGATATTACCACAGATGCGACTCAAGTAGATCCAGTGAAAAGTGTTTCTCTGAAGCGGTGAGTGTCAGTTATCTTAGTTTTGACCTTTCCAGATAGTTGTTTGTCATTCACTGTCATTATTATTAGTTTTGATTTTTCTGCGATTAAATCGGTTATCTATGCAACAAGGGAAGCAATTCGATGTGATGGGTTTCCTTTGCTTTAAGCCTAACTGACTGAGTTTCAATATAAAACTTTCCACAGAACTGCAGCAGTTTGTGGTTGTCACAATTCACGTAGCATACACATGTAGACAAAAAAGAGAAAGAAAGGAAAGTAGCATTTGAAAACATCGCGGTCTAATGTATACGGAGGATCACAGGAATATAATGCGTCTGAGCCACTGAGTACGATTTTGAGCCATATCACTAAATAGTAATAAGTCATTGGTTCTCAGCATCCCGAGGACTCCAACGAGTTAGTTCAAACCTCCCTAGGTGGCTCATAACAACTGTCAAAGATTCCACGGATTGATGACAGGTTTATCTAATCTCCATGTGACAATAGTTTCCCCTCTACCCCCCCCCACCAATACACTCATTGTTGCCTAGATTATACATAAACATGAATGAATTTATCCCTTGTTGTTACTATTATTATGATCACCTCGACTGTTGTCCATTAATCCACATCTCTGATCCTATATTTTATTAACACCATTAATTAAAATGCCTATGCCAATATTGAAATAATCCAGAAAAAGCATTTCAGAAATCACAAAGAACGTCTAATATCATCAGAAGCACTTCATATCAAATGGAATCCAAATTGTCTGAATAGGAGTGATGGACTAAAACAAATTTTGACCTTCTCCCCCATGAAATTACAAAATCAATACGAATGTCATAAGCAATTTCATTATGTAAACACACGCTGCTTTTATAATTTTATACACTTAACAAAGCCAGGTGTAGATTGTTGGATTTGATATCTTTACCAATTGGCCAACTTGACAACGCAAAAATGACCTCATGCTGAGGAACGATGATTAAGTTGTTATATATAAGCTAAGATTTTGTAAATTCTGGTTTAGTAATACTTTGATAAAGCTATTAGCAGCATTAAGTAGCGAAACGTCAGGAAAAACAATATCGTTTTGTTTTTGATTCATTGGGAAATACAAACAACCTTTATTATAATGAATATCATATACCCAATGCCCAAATTTTTTCAAACTGTTAAGAGTGAACTTGGTTTGGACATATATTGCCTATGTCTGACTTCAATATCGTCCATCATAACGTAAAAACATTTTTTCATTTAAGCCGAAATTGATTCTTAGTTATGTTATTCTTTTTATTTCTGTTACAGTAATCTTAATGCTGGAGCTGCTTTGGCGGGGGCACTATTGAAGGTGAATTTTGCTTTATTTCATAGTTTACTTTATTATATTTAATGTTATTCATTTCGTGCGTTCTAAATGGAATGTGTAAAGCCTCAGTAGCACATCTCTATTCCACTTGGCTCCCTGTCATCGCCCTCAGCTGGGAGCACAATTGCTCACAAGCTTCCATTTCATACACTCATGCATGGCTTTGACGATGTCATCTTCGGACGCACAACTCGTCGCTACGCATTCAGCATCCACTGATAGATCTGTTTGGCGTGTGATGATTTCACTTCACTGTGTCTCCTCTCAGCATTTGAATAATCCGTAGATTTTTGTCTAGTGCTTCGCTGCATTGCTTGAGTTCCTGGGCGCTTATTCTTTACAGTCAGCCATCTAATTTTCTGTATCGAGTGAATGGCGACAGGTGTTTATGATTTTTGATGGTTCACATTTGATCTACCAGTGAAGCTGTAGCTCACTCATTGGTCTTGGCTAACCTATGCGATATTTGATACGTTTTCATCAGCATATATTTGTTAACTGATTAAAAATGCCCATTAAAATTTTCAAAAGAATAGACACGGAACAAAGAGTACTCTTTTCGATAAATTCATCATCAGGTTCTACAATTATATATACATTATAATGAATGAATGAATTAGTCTTATGAACGACATTAATGTTGTTTAAATAACATCAAATCAATAATATTGGTAAATTACAGCTGAACAGCATCAACATAAAATAAACTGAATGTCAGGAGAATCAGGAAAGGTAATAGTACAAATTCATGAGTTTATAGTCTCTACTGAGGGCCAGGGCAGTAGTAGGGGCTGGACTTGTTTCTTTTGGACACAGAGCACTGGTTGTTTGAGGTGAATTGCAATAGCCTCTGCTGTTTGGAGCATGCAGTGCTTGGACGATTTTGGTAGTTTGTTAGGCACCCGGTATATTATAGAGAAGGATTCGTCAACGCTGGCTTTGTGGCCGGTTTGCACCAAATGGTTTAAAATCGAGCTGTTAATAGTTTTGACTACACCTTTACTTAACCATAGTCGGATATGCTCTCGAGCACGAAAAATCAAGTTCCTAGAGCAACGGCCAACATAACTCGCTCCACAAGCACAGTTGAATTGATAAATACAATTTGAAGTGGCCAGTCTAGGTACTTCATCTTTCAGTCGAGGTAGCACCATCGGTCGTGTAGAAAATAATACCTGTAGTTCGCCAGCATAAATTTGTTTAATCTAGAAATCTTTCTTATTTGTTTTATCCCACCCCTATGTGTTTTATTTTAGAACATTCTTGATACTGAAGTCCGCTTAAGATCTGGTGGTCTGGGTGGTGTCCCTGACTTCACAGAGTGGCAAGAACGTTTGGCACAAGTGCAGACTTCATATGGATTACCGCATGATTATTTGAGTGGACATCTAACATCAAAATCCACTTCATCATCTACGCCCAGTCATCAGTCTCCAAACAGAGAAGGACTTGTCAATGCACTAATCGATGTTGCTGAACATATAATTCCACGATTTTTAAATGTACCTGATTTAACCAGTAAATCATCACAATTGAATAATGCTATGCAAAATCCCTCAGATCATCCTAGTACAGATGTCAAGAATCCAGTGGCTGATCATATATTATCACGTGTCGCCAAATATTCATCTGATGAAGAATCTGACTCTTCTGATAGTAATGATCAGGAATTAGAGAAGGCTATTCTAGATCCTGAAGCTCATGAACAACGAACGCGTACTTGGTTAACAGTATGGCGTAATGAAGTTCAAAGTGCTCGTACACTGGCTCGTTTAAATCTTTTACATGTAATTATCATAAAGATTGTTGTTTTTTCTTTATGTATTGATTTCAGAAATTGTCAAATATTCCTGTTCTTTTTTTTAACCTGTTAATTGTTGATGATGTTTCCTATCGGTTTGTCCATGGAGTTCTAGCCAATAGGATCCTAGTGGGATCCCTGCTTTGCCTGTGTTACCCAGGGCAACAGGGTGATATCATTATCCCTCCATTTCAGTTTGTGAGGCACACAGTTTGTGAGATAAATTACCTCTCCTGCGAACTAAGTTCATACACTTTCAGGCTGGCAATGTATAATTTCCTTTGAAATATTAGTTCCATTAAATTCTTCATTCAATAAGTTGATAAAGAAAGTCATAAAGGTTAGAGGTTGTGAATGTGACAACTGACTGACTTTAACGTAGAACTTTGCACTGATTGGCAGCAGTCCGAGTCACCATACTTCATTTAGCACACAGCGCGAGATGAAAGTAAAAACGAAATGCAAAACAGAGATATAAGGCAAAAAGAATAGTAATTTCGAAGAACAATATAGTTTTACTGAGTATTATAAGTCACAAAGAGTGGATGCATCTGCGCCAGCCATTGAGAACGATTTTGAGCCATATCATTAATTGTTTCCAGCCACTGGTTTTTACCGTCCTGAGGACCATAACCAGGAATTCTACACCTTCCTACTTGGCTTAAACTAGCTGTTGTGGATTTCATTGACTGACTCCATGTTTTGGTTTGACCACCATTAGCTCATTTCCGACCTGATCCCATTTTATACCAGCTAACAGTGCTCATCGAGGAAGGCGATGACTAGGCATACGTAACACGTGTCCTAGCTATATCACTCAATTGATGCAGCTTCACAGCCTCATCGATTGATTTCCCCTCCTTATCTAGTACTCGACGCCTAACCTCAATATTATTCACCCTATTATACTGCTTCACACGGGAGATAGAACGCAGGCACCTATGATCAAAGACAACTACTCAGGCTTTTCATGTCTTCGACTTTCAGTGGCCATGTCTCACAGCCATTAAGGAGGATCAGGTATACATGAAGTAAGTTGAACTTCAGAATCATAAAACTAAGCATTATCTGTTTCAAAACCGTATGCATTCGAATAATGCGAACAATAGGAATGCTAAGTTTGTATCTATTTTGATGCGTAAGTAAAAGTAATAGTAATCTATAAAGTGAATTTATTCTAAACTTTCGTAGTGTTCACCTGGATATTTCAGCATTTCTTCCTGCCAAATAGTTAGAGCTTAGTATCATCCGTTTTTTCATTAACTGACGGTACTTCATAGCAGAGCAATGTAATAATCCATAAAGCAAATAGCCTAATACCTCCAACCTCCACGGTTAGCAATTACTCCTTTTCCCGAATATTAAACAAATAAAAATCCAAGGAGTTATTGATATTATCTTCATTTTTCGATTATTTTTTGTAATGCGGAGCTTTACAGAACAATACTTCCTCATTACCTGTGGTCCTTTTTTATTCTTCTAGGCATGTCTGGATGCATGTGTTCGTTGGGAGAAATCAGTTGAAGATGCTCGTTGTCGCGTCTGTCGTCGTAAAACTGATGATGACAATCTACTGTTATGCGATGGCTGCAATCTCGCTTTCCATCTTTACTGTCTACGTCCACCACTGAAACGTGTACCAGCAGGTGACTGGTTCTGCCCAACCTGCCGACCAGCCTCACGTGCTCTCGAGAAGCGTAAACGTGAAGAACGCCTGGCAAGATCTGCGAGACGTCGGAAACGCGCTGGGTCTTCTGATGATGATGACGGGGAAAACGAATCCGACGACGATCGGGATAGTAGCGCTGAAAGCGAGGACGTCCGGACGACTAGACGTCGAAATCCTCGCCGAGCTAAATCTCGGAATGACTCGCATTTAAAACGCTCAGTTAGTCCATCGAGTCGCCATCCAGGTAAGATTTTAATCATTCAAAAATAGATTTTCACACTTATAAACCATCATCTATGTATTCAATATCAATTCATTTTTGTTTTTTTCTCTTTTGTTTCCTTAGTTTCCTCAAAAAGTATCAAACATGACACATCTTGTCTTGTCTGTTCAGACACAATCGGTGATCTAGTATCGTGTTCCGGTTGTCCAAATATATTTCATCTGGACTGTCATGAACCTCCTCTACATCATATCCCGCGTGGAGATGCTTGGCAGTGTTCAAGTTGTCGGCTAAACAAAAAGCGTTCTGTTATAACGTCTTATTTTCAAAGCAGAGATTACCGCCAGAAAGTGTATGTAATCATTATATATATAAATATATATATATATATACATATATATATATATATACTCATAATTATTAAAGAATTATTGTTATTAGCAATACACATGTTAATACCTTCGTTCCCTCGGTCGGTCGGTCGGTTTTCGACATAGAACTTTGCACATATGTGCGGCAGTTCAAGTCGCCACACTCCATGTAGCACACAAAGCAAGAGAGTACGGTAGAAGAAATGCATAATATAGACAGTAAACAGAGGTGTGAGACAAAGGTATAGTAATAACGAAGAACAAAACAGTTTCATTGGAAATCGTAAGTCACAAGGAGTGGATGCATCTGCGCCATTGAGAACGATTTTGAGCCATGTCACCGATCGTTTCCAGCCATTGGTTTTTACCGTCCCGAGGACCCCAACTGGTCAGGAAGTCTACATCTTCCTACGTGGCTTAGACTAACTGTCGTGGATTTCATTGACTGGTGCCATGTTTTCGTTTGACTGCCGCTAGCTCTTTTCCAACCTGATCCATCCTATGTCAGCTAACATTGCCCATTGTCGAGGAAGGCGATGGAAGACTAGGCATACGTAGCACATGTCCCAACCATCTCAGTCGATGTAATTTCACAGTCTCGTCGACTGATTTCCCCGCCTTACCTAGCACTCGACGCCTAACCTCAATATTGCTCACCTTATTATACCACTTCACCCGGGAGATAGAACTCAGACACCTATGATCGAAGACAGCTAACCAGGCTTTTCATGTCTTCCACTCTCAATGGCCAGGTCTCACAGCCATAAAGGAGGACGGAGCGGACTGTTGAGCAGTACACACGCCATTTGGTCGATAGTCGGATGTCACGTCTACGTCAGAGACGGCGTAAACTGGCATATGCGAACCTAGCCCTCTGTATTCGTGCTGAGATTTCGTCGGAGATCAACCCGTTGGGGCTGATGGTACTTCCCAAGTAAGTGAAGCGGTCAACGTGCTCTACCACTTCACTTTCTATTTCTAATCTAGGGGTCGGTGAAGTCCAATCCTGCAGCATCATGTTACATTTTACAAGGGCGAATCGCATGCCAAACATACGAAGATTGTTGCTCAAGGTGTTCAGAAGACTGCATTTTGTCAGAGTCCTCGCCTAGGACTATATCGTCCGCATATTCTAAGTCGACGAGATTATTCCCTAGTAGCAAGTCAATCCCTGAGTCGCTGAAGTGTGTTCGTTCCCTATCATTGCAAAAGAAAGAGCACACTACAAGGTGTAGTAAAGAGCATTAACAGTTCACTATTAGAGATAACGTGGTCCAGTCGGGAAATATAGCCAGCCTTGAGGAGTCTTTCTCTGTCATCTTTTGGTTATCAAATAGATTTCAAAGGCGCTCCTAGATACTGAATACCTCAAACAGCGGAGGTCATTGTTCCTAATTTCCCTGATATTCAGTCTCACGTTTTATTTGTGCATATTATCACTCTTACTGGGTAGGTGCTTTTGAACTGTAATCTATTGGTCGTGTCAATAGCAATAATTCTTTACTTGTTATGGACGACATCTAACTGTAGAATCTGTTGGACAAGTTATCGAAAAGAATATTCTTTATTCAGTCACTTATTTCTGTCTAGAAAGTGTAGAGTATTGTTCACAGAATTTGTACGGAGTTGTTAAGTTTGCTTGTTGTCCTTGTCTTAGTAAACTTCGGCTTTTAATATATACTTCAAAACTAGACTACAATGTGACATAAATACTGTAAACTGTTTAAATTATTGTGCCTTTAGACACTTTTCACAATAATTTTAATTAATATTTTATGATTGTGTTGTTGTAAAATATGGATTTCCCAGTTGTTTTATTGACTTCTAAGACCTAATACAAGAAATAAGGCATTCTTTTGTATGCAACTGAACATCGAAGACAAATTCCATATCAGTTTGTTTATTAGATATATCACACAGTGAAACAGCATTATTTACTGGATGACATTTCGAACAAAATTTATTGTTCACAATCATTCCATCAATTGTAATCACACGGCTTTGAAACTTGAGTTTTATAGATTTCTTTGTCCTCTCCTATTTGTCGTCATTGGGGTAGTAGAATTTTCCAGATATCGGGGACAGGTGATGAATCATTCCTATTACACGTGTTTGCAGTTGATTCAATAAACAAAGCTTCTGTTATCAATCTCTCCCTATACTCTGTGACATTAGATTTTAAAACTGTCATCCTATCCCATCCTATTGTATGGTTGTGTGTAACTGCATTTAGTGCTGCTATAGCTGAACTGTTCTCTAGATTTCTTATCTCATTCGGGTCAACCAATCTAAATTTTGCTAAGTTTTTATGTTCAGCTAGTCTGACTGCCCCTGTTCTACTAGTTTGACCTATGTATTTGACCTGACAATTATTGCAGATAGGGTATTAGATAAACTAAATTGTTTTGTTTTAAAGGCTCTACAGGATCCTTTGACCGACAAAGCTTGTTTCTAATTGAGTTTGTGGGTTTGAATGCCGTTTTTATTCCTGCCTTGTTAAGAATTCTGTGTAAGGCTTCCGAGGTTCCTTCCTTGTACGGAATTACTACTGATGATTTAGATTACTTATTTTTGGTGTCGTCATTAATATTATTATTATCATTATTATTGTTAACGATAATGATTATGAGCAATAAATTTTGTTCAAAACGTCATCCAGTAAATAATACTGTTTCATTGGCTGTGTGATACATCTAATAAACAAACTAATATGGAATTACTTACTACCACAGTACCCAAGTCTTACACATATATTAATCGAAGACAAAGTTTTAAAAATGTTTCTGTTTGTTGCTCAAATACTTTAACTATGATATGTATATTATTACAAGTTATTCTGTATGGAATATATCTAACCAATGACTTTTTTCCCTGCTGTTGACTGCTTACGTTAGTACTTTCGTTATGCTTATTGTAGTTCACTGTTTTCCCATTAAAATAATCAGTTGATACATCCTATTCAAGTGAATGAACTTACGTTCACAATATTCTGCCCCTCATGTGTCACTCAGGTTCTTCTATTATCCTATCACATTACATGTTTTAACTGTAGAAAGCATGATCCTGTTATTTTAATATTATTTGTTCATTCTCATCGTGTTTCAGCTATCAAAGCAACTTTAAAAAGCGCACTGTCAGTCCCGAGGAACACAGTGATGATGATGAATTTGTAAATAATAATTCGCATTCTACCCGTTCAATGCGTACTAGAAATAGATCCCAAAGAAGTGCTGCAAATTCTGATACAGATGACCAACAACGATCAAGTTTAGCCTCATCGGATGTCGAGAGTCGTTCCAATAGTCAGCAGCCAACTTCGCGTCGTCGTCGTCGTCGAAGTGTTTCTCGGTCTGCATCTGCACTTAGTGCACAATTGAAAAATCGCGCAAAACGCAGACGACATAATTCTTCTGATCTAGAAGATGATAGTACTACGGAAACAGAACAAATGGATGAACAGTCGTCTCAGGCATTGTGTTCTCAAATTCTTGAGGCTGTATTTAAGCATAAACAATCATGGCCATTCAGAAAACCTGTAGATAGAAGTCAGGTAATATTTTATCAATATGCATTATTTAAATTGTTTCTCTCTATAGCCAACTTACTGTTTGTTATTCATCGAAATTACTTTTCCCGAAGTTTCTCTGACATCAGACCTCTTACATAACTCATTCACGTTCTTGGCCTCACATCGTACGTGTTTTCTATTCACTTATTGTTCCTGTTCACCTGGAGGTGAATAGCAACATTGTACAGCTTACAGGTCTTTCTCTGCTAAGATTACTTTGATTTCTCAGGTTGTTTTCGTGTTCAAATTTTACCTTTAGGTCCAATTCATGAGACTCCTTTCTCTTCAGGGGATTTTAGCCGACATGAGATTAGCGTGGGAAATGGTTAATGATGATCGAGTCAAAAGTTGGCGTCAATCCATTTGACTGCTCACTTGGGGCATGTTTCAAGGTGCAGACTACTTGTCTGGCTAGAGTCGTCGGTGTGCTGCTGTTGAGAGCCGATGGCTAGAGACTATTTGTTACATGGCTCAGATGCAATCACTTCCTGTGACCTCTCAAACCCACTAAGGCCTCATGTTGTTCCATGTTACTATTCTTTCTCCTGTACATTTCTTCTCATAATTGCTTTTAGTCAATTAATGCGTATATTGTTTGCTTTTCAACAACTGTTACTGGTTTAAGCATGTGAAATACCTTTCAGACTCATTGAATGTCTAATGACTGTGCTTACATTTTCTTATGTACTAGTTCTTCATGGAACCTTGGCATACAACACTGTTAAGTGTTTCATCGTACTTCATTTGTGTGTGTTAGCTTATCGCCTTAAGCGCTCGACTTTCAGTCGATACATCCAATGTTCGAACCTCACTTCATCTACTTCAGCCTAAACTAAAGGAGTATTAACAGTGTCATTAATCGTCACACAAATAAGTGTGACACATAGCCGGGTACTGGGTAACTGCGTTCTAACTAACAAACTAACTAACCTGGCCTAATTAAGTAGGCTTATGAATAACATTCAGTTGCATCTACGTAGTATTTATCTCCTGAACTAGAATATCGACGAAGTATTTTTGTGTCAGAAGTGTTTATTCTTCGAATATCTTTTTTATATATTTTGAGCACTAATATAAGTGTCAAATCGTCTAAAGCTGGAATAACATTTACCGTATGTACCGCATGTAATAAAAGAATGTGGTCATATAGAGAAGCACCAGGCAACTGGAAGTCGAATGTTTTGTTTAGTTGCTTAAGGCTCAGTTATCTAGAATAGATTTTTCATGTACCAGGGTTAAGAGTCACATTTATTGTATGAGGTCTGCTTGTGCTACCCAGTTACCCAGGCTGAAGTAGGTAGACCGGGACTTGAACCACCCACCACCCTTTGGCTAGAAACTGAGTACTTAAGTCAATGAACCTCTTCTTCACGTCATCGCTGAAATCGTCTGACATCGCTTTTGCTTAGCCCAACTAATGTTGATGACAGAATTATGATCAAGCTTGAATATGCAACTGGTTTCTCTTTCAGAAGAAAGTCTTATCCTTCTCCGTTATAGTTGAATATAATGTACAGTTTGATCTTGGACTGTAAGCAATAGACGCTTGCTATAGACACGAACTTTTTATACTGACAAATAGGCTATTTAATTAGCGCATTATAAGTGACATGAGATGAATGTGTACTTAGTTTATCATTCCTGTTTTACTTTTACTTTTTCCCACCTTCATTCTTTCCTGCCCCCTACCACCCACCTTGTATTATTTTATTATATATTGTTAATTAGGTGCCAGACTATTATGAGATAATTACCGATCCCGTTGACTTGTCTATGATGCGTGAATGGCTATCAGAAGGACGGTATACTACAGAGAATGTATCTGAAGGATTAGAAAAATTGGCCGGAGATTTCGGTACTTTGTTTTATAATGCTGAATTGTATAATGCTGCTGACTCGGATATTTGGCTAGCTGGAGAGCAATTGGAGAATTTCGTAAAAAATCAGTTTGCTCAAATGACTAATGGTCAGTTGGATAGTTTTTGAAATATGGCGATTTATTGTAATAAGCTTTTGTCAATTATTTTTTTGCGTGCATATCCACTCCATCATGGATTTACTCACTTAATCATTACTACAGGCTTTCTCTGCATTCGAAATGAACTCATTGGTTAATAAATAATTTTTCACGGAGGTGATAAGTATTTTTCTCACTCACTCCCCAGATTTAATTCTATATAAAGTACACAATAGGTCTTTATTCAAAATCCCAATATTTGTACAAGGACTGGGACACTGCCCTGGCGGGTGGTGGTTGTCTTAAGGGAACACCTCCAAAACTTTCACTTGGAGTCTGGTCTACGAGGCAGTGAAGCAGCATGAGGAACTATGTCTCCATGATTCCCGGTAACCAAGACAAAACTAGACGGCATTTAATCCTTCCGGATTCAGGATCCCATGTATGTGCACCAGCTCCCTTAGACAAACCTGCATTTCCACCAGTCTGGCTGTAAGTGGCCAGTGTTTGCATTCATCCCTTCACTTTTGTGAGTAATATCCCTGCAGTCTGCAGGCACTGAATAGGACTTACCCGGCAGAGACTGTGATCATGAGAGTATTTCGAGAGGGAGACCGAAGTCTAACCAGTTACCGTATGAAGTTGTCCATGAGGGTAACGCATGTTATTGATATAAGGATGAAACTTGGTCACTGTGATAGAGTATAATTCCATTATGGATAAAATTTTATTTTTATAAAGTCACACATTGTTATATAGTAATATTTACTGATCACGTTTCGAACTACTATGTATCAACGAAACAGGAAAGCTATGTGAGTACTTCGATATGATTATGAGCAATAAATTGTACTCTAAACGTCATCAGTAAATATTACTGCATAACTGTGTGATTGTTTAGAAATCATTATAGTGAGCTGTCGTCGACACTCAGCAAAAGGATATCGAAGTAACCTTTCAAAATGTACCACTGTCGGATGGTCGGAGGCAATCGACAGGAAGCCTTTTACCTAGGTATCCTACTTTTTGGAACTTGTCAGCAACGTGTACCTACACTCTGGAAGGAACTCGTGTCCCTTCTGGGGTTCGAATCCGGGCCATCCAGTTCTTCAGTTAGAGACTCCGACAATGAGCTTTTCGGACCAGGTCCAAGGCCTTTCGCCGACTGTCTCCAGCTGTCTAGCAACAATTCAGAGCCCACTGTGGTGGCATGTCGCCTAGTATGGTGGCCACATTGCAAACTTGACTGATAAAATCCAATCTGTACCAAACAAAGGACTAGAGACATGACACTAGTTACTACCACCAAGTGTTTAATCAAAATATACCCTACTGTTTGCTCATATTTTATAGCAAAATTTCCCAAGTTGACCTGATATTTACTTCCCATTTTGACTTTTATCAATGACCAATTAATATTGCAAATTGGCAAAAGTTAGAATTCATTGGTCAGAGCATTTTAAACCCCAGTGACTAAACAGTCAACTGGCTCCAGCCGTAAGTTGAACATCCTGGATTCAACGCTGGGAAGTGTATCGGGAACTGGGAAGAAATAAGTGTCACTTGCTTCGTCGTTTTCAATGACTCTCAGTTTGTTAGTCTGTTACTAAAGAATTACCTATATTTCTCATAACGTTTTTTTCTCTTGTGTTCTCTTCCATTTAGATGTTGTATACTCTAGACCGGCGCTCAATGATATGTAATATACCAATCTTCCTTTCGGAGGGGGGGGGAGGAGATCGATTGGTTTTATCTTTACTACTATTCTGCATAGATCTAAGTCATCGTCTTCTTTGTTCAGATAACAAAAGACATACTACTTGATGAGAGTGTAATCATAAATAGCAATAGTCTGTTGATTAATCAATCAAAAAAAAGAAAGAACTCTTTGACGTCGTTGTCGTCGTCGTCAACAGCGTTTATTCCTTCTGTTCCATGTACACCCTACTTCCTTGCGTGTGTTTTTGTAATCTGTGAAAGAAATCCTAGTGTTGTATGCATTTAAATTAAAAAAACCAACCACAGAAATACCTACTCCCTTTTTTTAAATGTCTGATTTCACTGTCTTTAGTGTGTGTATGTTAAATGTGTGTAGACTATTTTTTTAAATTGTTTTCACACAACTTGACTATTCGAAGCAGTTTATTACCACTATTTATTATAATAATGATATTATTACAAAGACAAGTGCAGTGCAGTACAGTATAGTACTTTAATTAAAGTAAAGCGTGTGTGCTTGTTCTCTCTCTTTCTCTTTATCTATTTATACACTCACACAAACACACAAGTGACTGACTTAGCTTGTTGCTGGCTCTCCTTCTTCTGTCTTTTCTTTTTCTGCATGTCTTGTCAAACTATCACAATGAGATAATTCATCTTATGGCGGGGGGGAGTATTCATTCTTATTTCCATCTGTTTGTATAATGTATTGAGGACAGAATTCGGCGTTGGACGGTGCATAGATTTGTGTCCACATATACATACATTAATTAATTAATATGTTACAAGACGGACTTCTTCATTGTGTCTTCTGCGTTATCCTACTACCTTATATGCGTGCGTACACATCTATCACATCTTATCTCTGTCAACATATATTATTTTATTACTGTATTGTGCTAGTATATGTACAGTCTGTTGAATTGTGCACACTGTGTGTGTATGCGCATATATATATGTAGACACACCTATGGAAGAGAGAGATGCACTTGTGGTAGTAGTGCTGTGGTGTATTTTCCTTTTCTTGTATCTGTGTTTGTGTGTGTTTGAATGCGTGTCTGTATGAGAGGTGGTTACAGAGTAAGTAATTTGTTTGACTGTGAATAAAAGCTATAAACAGTAAAAATATTTTTGTTGTTCATATATCTTTTGGTTATCCACAACATTGTAGGTAATAATTGTGTATAAACAATGAACGATGACTTGTTTTTCCAATGATTAATAGCCCCTGGTGGAAAACATAGTAGTTAGGCATTATTTATTAGTTTGCCTATCGGTTGTGTGGAGTGTTTATATTCCCTTAATGGCCTTGCCTGTCGGCCAAAGCTATCTGACATAGAATTTGATAGGAAAAGAGCTAGGAGTGGTGAGGAGGAAGAGATGCACACAATGTGGAGCCAGCTAAAAAAAGATTGTAAAGAAAAGATTAAAATGGTGATATGCTTCTTAAAGTCCTATCTCCCATTCAGAACCCAAAGGGAGCAATATAATATGATGTCGGAGTTAGATGTGTTTGTGATGTTCAAGATTGTAGCAAAACTTGAACCACAGGGCGCACGATTAGGCAGGTTCGAGAACATTTACCAGCTTTGTTCACCAAGGGAGAAATTAAATGCATAAAAAGCTCGATCCTGCCACACTTGGTCGATACTGAACATCGCAATGACGCCAACACAGCCTTCAGGGTTATATACCGAAGTCGTTATCACGTATAGTTCGCTTACATCTCCTACACATAACTGAAGCTATCGCAATAGGATCGTCTAAACCGGAACTTTGTATCTCCTGTTTAACACAGACCACTTTGTACTAGCCACTCACCTGACACCTTTTATAACCTTGAATTGACTTGTCTATTTTCCTACCCCACTCTATACAAATCTACTATGACTAATCATCACCATTGTCTCCCATTTTACAGTATTTTGTAGTCGATTTCAGCCTAGCACGTTTGTCACACAAATACTGCTATTTATTTTGACACACCGTAACTAATCTGTTATTCTGCGTAAAAAAAGATATCCGCCACATAACTGGCTATCATTATTGTAATGACAATAAATATTCGGTTTTATAATTGTAAGAACCTGAAGAGGAGAAATTATTGAAAAGAATGTTCTTCGTTCAGACTGACTTCCAATTCTTAATATGGGAATAGTTTACGCTATTAAATCGTACAACGCTAATGTCTGTGATTTACGTGGGTGGAATTACTTCACTTATGTTTATTTCAGTGTACCCGAAACTCTATCCCAACAACTATGAAGTTACTAACTAACCCAACATATTGGAGAATTAGACAGTGACTAAACATCGAAAGTTTAACCCATTAGTAGTTTGATTTTCTGTCTAATCACATTCGATATCTGTTTTCAGCGAATCTGTAGCCTGTGAATGACAACTTTAGATATGAGAAAACAACAAGCTGAGTAGCAAAGAAGTAAGAAAAAGGCGTCAGCAGCAATGAGAGTTTACATCTCGATGATTCATTTTCATAAGCTATACGATCGTAGATTTATTGTTTTCAAGAAATTATATCCGATGAGGGAATTGAATCATAGGTGTGAATACATTAAATAATAATAACAGTAGTGTGGTGAGTGCTTTCTGCTAGCCAAAATTAGTAGACAGTAATTTACGTCAATGTTTACGTCCCAAATCTTGGTCATGAGAAAAAAACAAGAACAAAGACTAACTCAATAACAACAGACTGCGTGGGCGGGTATGATCCGCAGATATGTGGTCTGACCATGAAAGAAACAGTCACAAAGAGATGACAGAAGAACTTTCAGTGATAAAACAACCAATCAGAAGACGCTGTTTCTCTGCTAATAATAATGTACATAAAAATACATGAATATCTCTTGATTTTCTCAATAAACGATCTGTTGCTAGGCCCTTGTCTTTTGTCGTTACAGTACAATCGTATATACACATATGGTTTTTAAGCAATTATATCCGGTGAGGGAATTGGACCAAAAGTGTGAACACATGAAATAATGGTAGGAAATGCTATTAAAATCAAGAAATCCGTGATTATAATCATAGTTAATTATCAAGTGACAAAACAGTTCATAGGACGCATACAAGTTGGGAAAGGACCTAGGTTCGAAACCCAGTGGCTGCGTACTGATGAAGGGCCCCAAACTAGGACATAGGAAACAGTTGTCCAGGTTTTCCGATGGTTCTCTGATCGATTTCAGTTGCTGATGAAATCCTGAAACCAATCGAATCCCTACAAACCGACACCTGAGTATCACTTGTTTTGATTTTCCATATCTGCCAATGGGAATTTTCCACGAAACAAAAA